CCGGCTCAAGGATTTTAGGGGCCTGGTGTAAGGCATATTTCTTATAAAGGAAGTGTACTCCTCCAAAACTCTTGTACATAATTCCTAAAATCACTATTTGCACATAGTTTGGTCAATAATAACTAGAGCCTCTTGATATTGGTTTAAATAAGATTGTTAAAATAAATAAGTTTTCATGCATTTCTTACGCCTACCAGATTACTTATTTAATTTGAAAGGTTCGTTTTTTATTAGATCGATATGTCATTATGACGAAGTTGATTGGCCAATTTCCAGAGTATGCTAAATCAATTACTGACCACTGGAGATTTAAAATATTTACTAAAAGTTTAAAACATCTGTTGATTGATCATTATAAGAAATTGTAGATAATACAATTTCTACTGAATTTTCACTTTTCAAAGATATATAGACACATTATCCTGAAGGATGTAATCAGTCGCTGCTACAAAAGATGATTTTTATTTATATATACTTGTTGAATTATCAGAAATAATATATTCTTGACATACTCTTTATGATTTTTATGAACATCAGATCCATAATTTTCTTGAGATGTATTTGGTTTAATATATTTAAGAAATTAACGGTGAAGGGAGTAATATCAATGGATAGGGGAGGAAAGTACCTATCCATAGACATCACCCACGACCTAATCGAAACAAGGGGAGAGAAGCTACCACCGGAAACATAGACGCGACCAGACACCGGATGAACCGATTACGCGAATAGTTCATTAGTCGTTACGGTAATATGTTTATATATCGGCGCCCCGCCGCCGACAAATTCAATTTAACATCCCTCAATTATTCATCGACAATCAAACTATTAACTGGTCTAAACACACCAAATACCTCGGAGTATCATCGGTCGACAAACTAAACTTCGCCCTACACATATCCAACATTACTAAAAAAGCAATCCACACCCGTGGAATACTCTACCCCATACTAAACAGAACTAGTCCCATTCCAATGACAACAAAACTTAAGAATTCTACATATCCCCTATCCTCGCTTACGCAGGTTCTTCCTGGCCCTCTTCATTTCTTCCTCACAATGGCGAAAATTGAATCCATTTAAAACATTGGCATCCGAACGACAACCGGCATGCCTACTTTTGTTAAAAATCCTATCCTTTTAAAATCTACAAATTTAAAATCAATCCAACACTTAATAAGATCACAATCCAAAACTATGTTTTATAAAAACTCCTTTTTCAACCACAACCACATCAAACTTCTAGGTAAAACAATCTTTCCTCCATCCACAAAATTTACCCGTATCCTAAAACCCTACACGTTAACATGGGCAAACCAACTCTTATAACTAAACCAATCCAAATCCATCCCTTACCATTCATCCACTAATAAAGGCTCAAGCCTGGTGTAGTAAACGACATAGTCCAGTACTACAAAGCAAAGCAAAGCAAAACGACAAATTCAACTTCTTCAACTTCCACACCAACTTTCAAGACACCAATCAAACCATACAAAAGGACTGAATTGAATTTTGAGAAGGAAGACTTACGAAGATACCAACGGCCGTGACGATTTTACAAGTGGTCCTGTACAGTCAATCAGAGGCCTGAAACCACCGCCACAGCTGAAAGCCCAACACACCGTCGCTACGATTACATACATCGTTCGCAACGGAAGCAGACAGTGCCCACCGACCACACACCGACTACAACGAACTCGCATGGCCTACCACCGCAACGGTATATTGCATATACGACACACCGCACGGCGTCGTCTCCCGGATTACACCTCTCAGGGCAAATCGATTATTAAATAACACTATTTAGCAAACGTCTTCGAAGTGCAATCGCGGTCGATAATACACGACGACTCACATACCCTCTCGGTGTGACCTCAAACGGTCCTTCGACCTACGGATGGCCCCGGACTCAACGGTCGACCGATAACGGACGGTGCCTTACCCGAAGCCCGGACACGGAGTAAAGTCGGAGTTGATGATCGAAGACCCGGGAAGTCCAGCCTTTGCCCGTCCAGCGTGTCACGGACTACCTCCAGCCAGTGAATACCAGACCGCCCGGAAATACTGCCAACCATTCGACCGAATGGATCCAAAGGAATTATTCCAGTATTAACGACGATCGGACCAACACTCGGCCGCAACTCGTCGTCATCAAAACAGCACTTTTCATCGCTTCCAAAATACCGAGGCACTTAATCATGTTAACCTCCCCGGATTCGATCCATCGCCGGGGTACCGCTTAGTTAAGTCTGTACCGGCGACGGTCGATCCCTAAACCCATAACTGTATATAACGCATGACACACCCGATATTGTAATATTAGAGCTCGGCCTCGGCCTGGCTAATACTCACAAGCACCACCGACTGTTCCTACCCACTTTTCTAAGTCTGGTCGGAACATGCCTACGCTTTACTAAGCCCTTTATATTGTATGTTTACTTATGTATTATACCAAAATAGAGGAATGTGATTACCAGGGCTCGGAACTTTATATGCTTAAATCTTAAAAATATGCGCATACATATGCACCATAAAATATCATAATATGCGCTTTAATATGCATTTATTTTTAATTAAAATATACATATTTATTAAAATTTAATTTAAAAAAAAAAAACATATCTTGTACATACGAGTATAACTAAAAATGTATATTTTATACATACTATATTACTAAAAAAAAATGTTTAACTGTTGAATGGGAGATCTTTGGATTTTTCAACACTTAGCATTTTCTATACCGATCAATTACAATTTTTATTTATTAAAAAATAATCATTTTATAATTCTAATTATGTACTTACTTGCGTTACACTGGATTATCAAATGTTTTTTTATGTTCTCGACTTTGAGAGACCTTCTATTATTTGTAAGTAAAGTTTTATAGGTGAAAAATGATCTTTCTACGTTTACCGATGTGATGGGAGCATATTTAAAATATATCAGATCATTAATATCTAAGTATTCTGGTAAGTCTTTCATGTCAATTAATTCACCGTTAAGAATGTTTTTAATTTTCTTTAGCATAGCAAGGCCAACATTTTTCTTCAATACATTTTTCATCTTTCTACAAATATTTTTCCCAGTTTATCCAGGTGCCCCACCGTGTTATTACTGGCTCTGGAGGTAAAGATAAATCCGGTGCCTCAGTTTTAAAAAGAAACATGCGAGATGGAGCTTTTCTAAATAGTTTTTTGATATTTGAAATCAGCTGATCAACAGATTTATATTGGCTTCGTACTTGTTCAGCCACCCTGTGTAGCCCGTGAGCAGTGCATGTAACGTGTATCATTTTGGAATATAAACCATTTAACGTTTGACCATATTTCACCATGTAAGGAGCTGCGTCCGAAAAAAAATAATAAAACATTGTCATGTTTTATACCATCTGGCCATAATATAGAAAGAGATTTGTCAAATAGCTTACTAACTGTAGATTAATTGGCTTTTTCCAGTTCTTCAGTGTTCAAAAGAAATATTTTTCCAGATTTTTCAGCTTCTAAAGTAACGATAATCACGTTTGCGATAAATCGACCTTCAGCATCGGTCGTTTCGTCTATCGATATCCAAATTTTATGATCAGAAATATATTCTCTTATTTTTTGCATAGTTTCAATAAAACAATCATCAATATAGCCTTTTCTTAAAGTTGTTTCGTACGGTATCTCTTTCCTTGTGTAAGATTCCAAAAAATTTCGAAATACTTTGTTCGATAATTTATTTAGCGGAATGTTAGCCGATACCAATGCTTTACATAAGTCCATATTAAAAGTAGACTTCTTAGTTGTATAAGTGTGTGTTATCATTTGTTGGGTTATTGTATTGAACATTTCCCTCCGCTTAATCATTTTCACATTTGTAACTATTTGTATATATTGTATTACACTAGATCGTCGTTCATATTCTATTTTAATTTCACATAATTTACAAAATAAAACTCTTCCGTCTGCGGAAAATACATTACCCCCAAATTCCAAAATGAAACTTTTCAACCGATTAATTTATGTTTTTTTTTTCTTTTGGCATATTATACTACAAATATGAGCCCAAATAAATATAAAATAACAAATACAAATACGAACACGACAACGATTGACGATATATGCATTGACACGATAACGATCGTAGTCCGTCGATCACTGTGTACTGGCAAACAAAATAATACTGTAAAAGAAAGATTAAATAAAAAATAATATTGTCACTAATAATATAATCACTGAATTATATACCTATAACTACGTGCATTCATATTCTTTCACGATCCGGAACGTTACCTCGGACGTTCCGTTTCATCTGATATTTTTATTAGTAATTTTTTATAATTAGCAAATGCTACATAATCCGAGTCCTGATTACTCAATTAACTATCTTAGACTAATAATTGTTTACTTAATTATGACTTATTAAACTGGAGAAATAATTTTACCTAAATAAAAAAGGTTTTAAAAACAAAAAAGTTGAGGATCGCGAGTTTCATTTGAAAAATAAATATCAAATATTATTATTAGTATAGTTTATTTTGATTTCCTGTATTTTAATCAACATATTTTCGCGTAAAATCATTGCATAGGTATTGAGTACTCTGATAAATATAATATGTTTTCTAAATATAAGTTATAATCTTACTACCAATCCTTTTTTACTGTAGTGTAGATAAATTATCTAGATAGTAATCAAAAAATTCGACGCCGTAACCTTTATATTATAAAGTATTATGATAAATAAATAATACAAAATTTTTATAACGAAATGATGTCTATTCATGCATCATTTATAATACTACTTGATTATATATTTTTAAACGCATTTCATGATACTCACATTTTATGTTTTTGTCACAATATTTTGCTTAGTTAGTATTATTTATACAGTTATATTAGTCAATATTTAGTTCAGAATTACTAATAAGTCTAAAATATTTAGTTAAAAAATTATTTAAAGGAAATAAATGTTGTTCAAGTATTTACATCAGTAATTTTTAATTTAACTAGATAATTCTCAACATTGGTTAGTATACATGTTCAGTATACAATCAGGTAACTTTTAGATCTAGGTCTTAATAATTTGACATACGAGTAGATATATCATGCTCAGATGTCGTCCAAAATGTCATATCCATCGAACGATAAGAATAAATGATTCAAATGCACCGTTTCCTTAACAATGATTTGATTTTCATTGTAAATTTATAGTAAATGTTTTTTATAAGTTTAAATAAAAATAGTATTGGTTGGTATTTTAATTTTAACTTTACTATGAATTTTGAATTTAATATGACAGCAAAGTTGTTGTTAAGGAAACGGTGTATTTTACTCGTTTGTGTTGTGTGTAAGACATAGTCGTGGTCAGATTATACGTGCAATGTATGTAGGAAATCTATAGCATATATGTAAAAAAGTGAACTTTAAGAAATATTTATTTAAAAAAATAGCAGTCTCCAAAAAGTTTAAATATAAATTGTTATTTCCATCGGCATTCTGGGTATGTAGTAGCCGTATCGTGGCTACGTTTATGGTGTAAGGCATGAAGCATGTGTGTGCCAATGTGTCTGTGAATAGTACATTGCATGAATAATCAACAACCACGAGTGTGAAATTTAGTTTTTTTTTTTACAACTTTGATAAACATAATGTGACGTAATGTAGTCGAAAATACATCATACATAGAGTGTATATACGTGCATAAAGTGTATAGCTCTAGTGCTCTGCATAATCTGTAGTTTTAGGGACCGGATCAAACTGAAAATATTGGTAAAGGGCCCAATTGATTGCTACATTTTTTTTTTCAGACCGGACTGGACTGAAAATTTAAAATGATTTGTGATAGAAGACTGAGACCGGACCTTCGGTCTGAACTAACAAATTTCGGACTGTAATAGTTTATGGATTGCACTGGACTAATTATAATTTTCTTATCCTATCGAATCGGACCGAAAATATAATATAATTTGTTAGACTGGAAAAAACCATTAGGAGTAAAAAATTTTGAACAGTGAAAGTTTTGAATGTAAAATTGGTAATTGTTATAGATTTTAACTGTTCGTAAATAACAACAAACCTGTACGAAAATGATAATATACTACATAATGTATGTGCTACATATTTGTAGTCGAAGCTTTGTACATTTGATAAGCCATAATTTAGTTTCTACTGTTATACAAAAAAAATAAAAAATGGGTTTAACGAACTTTTATACAAAATACAATTAAATATTCGAAATACTTCATATATGCAGTCATCCTAAAATAAACTTTTTCCTGTACATTCTCTGTTACACAAATCGTCCACATTTCTTACTCCCATCAAACTGCATACACTTATTACAAATATGTAAATGCATACAAATCCGGACTCCTAATCATGACTTTTGAATATTGGAGTTTTATTCGAAATTTGTAAATTTGTTTGTAAACATGATAGTTTATCATACAATAGTCGTTCATATTTAATCCCCATTTTATAAGTATGATTGTGGTACTACCTATAATATTTATGAATCCAATATTTTTTTTTGATTTATCAATATAAAATTGTTTAGGAGTTGTTAATTAATTCATGGGGTAATCAATAATTCATTATGACATAAACTGTTTAGTTTTCCCACTTAATATATACCTGCCAAACTCTATATTTCTTATGGGACTTGACATTGAGTCGGTAATTATATATCTGTGATAAATACCCATAGACTCTGAACATAAATCTATGAAATGCACAGACCCAGATATAATATACAAATTCCCGTTTTCCTTAAAGTACACATACCTCCGTAAATTGTACACGTAGTCATGTCGATAATCATAGACATCAAATAACGAGTATTTTGAAACATTTTCAGCTCACGGTTATTGTTAATGAAAAATACGAGTTATGAGTAAAGAATCTGACCCTTATAACTAATATTAGCATAATATTCGAATCTGATAAAACTATAATTTCGAATAGAACTGATTGCAGAAAAACTGGAAGGGAAAATAGGTTGTTTCAATATTTCGCAGAATTTTATTTTGTTTTTCTATTGCAATCATTACATTTAATAACGTTTGTGGTTTTTGCTTCTTAATAACAAATATTTTGAATTATGTAAATTTATTTTTTTCATTATATTCTCTAGATAGAAATGTGTAGACAATTGTATTTTGTTTTTAAAAACCAATTGTTTTATTTGATTTTAAATATAATAGTTAATAATGACATATGAACATAAAGCAATATAGTACATTTTTTCTAAGTATAATATTATTCAGTATAGAGAATAAATATTATTTAATTGATAATCTTATGTATCAAAAAAAATGTGTGAAAACTAAAATTAGTTCATCTGGCCATTCTCTCCAGCTGATTTCCTTAATTTTTTTTTTAAATGGAAGGTATTTAGACACATATATGTTATCAATCGTTGAAATTTACTCAACTCCTACCTTACTTAAGTTACTTACTAAACGCGATTCTTCTTTGTACATTTCTTATGGGACACATTCACTCAAGCAATCCGAATTCTCATGGCTCATCTTCTAATGAATGGATCTTTTCACTCTCAGAACGCTCTGTGGATCAAGCTCATTCTTTTGAATTAAACTGAATTTAAATGAATTTAAATTTTATATTTTTAATAAATTTAAATAAACTGCTTAAATTCGTTGAGTTTGAGAAAAGTTATGCGTGCACAATCAACTTTATTTTCAATTTTTTCCAAATACTGCACTATACAATATTTGGCTCTTACCAATTAGTTTTAATAAACACTCTGTTATTTCGATATTATTCTCATTTATTGATTTGTAAAAATGTCTTTATGTATTGATTCGATTGCACCTATAATTTTTATTATATAAATAAATTATCTATTGTGAATTTTCGCAACGAGTATACTATTATATTATGATTATGTAATAATCAGTTTTCGATTTTTTTTTATCAATCAAGATATATATAAAAAAAAATTTTGTTTATATAATTATGTTTTATTAAATCCTTGTAAAATTGAAGTTAAAATTATGAGTTGAGGGTTATTTTTTTCAATACTACCGAATCATAAAACAAAAATAAAAATATAATTAAAATTATTATTATTAAATGGTTGATATTCGTAAACAAATATATATTATACCTAACGATGAATTTTTAATCTCAAACCTGGTGTAATTTACAAATATAATAATACTTTAGACTATTTATTTATATACTATCAAATCATTGTGAGAAAAAAATTTGTAAATATTAAATATCAGTACCTATTATTTGTTGAAATTAAAGGATATGAATTAGATTACATGATATCCGATATGCATTATTTTTATTATGCTATTTAGTAATATATATTAACTATACTATAGTATACTTATTTGAAATATGACTGATTGACTTATCCAATTTAATATTATTTATTGTTAAAGTGTACGATAAATGGTGAAAATAAATTAAAACCATTTCTAAAATGCTATACATTTTGCCATTAATTTATAAGTTTACATAAAGTAATAAACTATAACTGTGGTATTTAAACTTTTATTTTAATCACAACACAGTGTTCTTAATAAAATTTTATCGACACAGTTATAAGTTAAATCTATCGGTCACATTTAACAAAAAAAAAAAACAAAAAGAAGAAGAATCTTATAAAATTTCGCGGCGCCAAGATTAAAAACCACTAATTTATAATCTTATAAACATATATTTATTCATTTTTTATTTCATGTAACAATTTTATCTTCATATTATTCTTTTTTCAAAATAATAATTTGAGTATATCCTACGTAATTTTAACGCAGAAAATATATGTATTGCCCGACAAAACTATAAAATATAAAGCAATAAAAAAATACATATAAATGTGATTATTGCAACTGAAAAATGATTTAAGTATACCTATGACAATGTATGGAATAAAACTATCAATAATAAACCAAAAATTAGATAGATTTATAGAAGAACCTAAATAATTTGTGATGTAAATATTATATGATTAATGGAGGACACCAAAGTTGTGGAATATTTTGAATCTAATGAGCAATAATTTTGTAAACTGTAAAATATTATTTCTGGATTATCTGTCTTAAATACGTTTGTTAAAAAGTTGGTACTTACATTGACAAGATATAATTATTAAATGTCTACAATACTTCAATCTAACTAACATTTATAGATAAAAATATATTTACATTAGGACGTAAGGTAATTAAACCGAAACGTATTTCCGATATTTGATTTCATTGTTTTATTTTTTATTTTCTATAATTTTATTCTTTATTTTGTAAATTTTTTCAAATTATTTTAATATTCCTAAATTTTCAAGGCTTGAAAAATAATGAATAATTATTTATAGATTAAAACTACAAATGATCACGTGTCATATCGAACATTTAAATTTAAATCCATTTGTTGTAAAAATATATTCACAAAGAAACTGTTTAAAACGTTTCGTACATAACAAATTATGATTAACGTTTATTTTAATCTAATATATTGTGATCATTTTAATTTTTAATAGTATCACGAAGTGAATCAAACAAACCGTATTTGTTTTAATAATCATACAATCGTAATGTACGACTAATTGAATGTACAGTTATGAATTTGAAAAAGTAAAATGTGTACTACGAGATTTCAAAGTGAACAATAAAATGTCTAAATCGTTCAAAACACAGAAAACAGTTACCTACGTACATAAACAAATATCGTAGAATTGGTTTCGTACTAAATGCCGAGAAAATGAAATCGAGTTTCGGAAGGTTATAGGGTCATCGTTAACTGTAGATTATGTCACAGGCTACGGAAATTCATTTAAAGCGTAGTGTGTCGTAAGAAAACGTTTCGCTGCACGTTACGATTGGATGCTTATCGCTATTCGAATACGATTCGTTCGTGGGCAGTTAGACACGAATATCCGTGCGTAGCTTAAATTCGGTAAAAATAACATGTTGTTACAAACCTACGGAACGGTGCGATTGAGCGCGGAGAGTATGGTGTACAACAGAAGCGGTCATAGTTCAATAGCTGATATCGATGATCAACGAAACGTCGACGAGAAAAAAAAAAAACGATAAAACGGACTCCGAGAGCAAATCGAATACGGCTGTTGTCCGTTGACAAAACGTCGCGCGTACGAGCGACCGAAACCGGCGCGGAAACGCATAACTAACACTACGGAATTGCTGTTGGGACGAAGGAGGTGCTTGGATTATTGCTTGGAATCGCGACCTCGCGTTGTGATTACATGTACTTACGGTCTTCGGACGGCGGACGGGTTTACGATGTGAACAGTGCACGTCGGAGCGTAGCGAGAATATCGTCAACGCGGTGATGAAACAGTTGTGGATCGCGATGCATCAACTCTTCTGCGCGACTGCGTTTCCTGCGTATAGATTTTTGATTTTTTTTTTTTGATAAACGTAGTTACGTGATCGGCGACGGTGGCAGATGAGGTGATACGGATGCGTTAATCGGACGAAGAAAAAGAAAAAAAAATCCAAACGCAATAGAGGAAACCGAAAAGCGTTACGTGAACGTACAGCGGACCAGCTGATACGACGTCGTTGGTTGTTGGCCGGTGCGTACCACGAACGACGGTCGCTGACTGACGACGTGCCCGAGAGTCCGTCGCTACGTTCGTTCCGACCGTCGGCGGCCTGCGGGGAGAACGCGCACCGGTTCCCCCTTCCCGAGTCGGACGGTATTCTGGCCCGTTCGGTCGGATATACGTTTAAAACGAAAAATTAAAATTGAAAAAATAAAAAAATACCTCTCATGTCGTTCGGAATCACGCGTTGATCGACACGAGCTGGTTTGGAAAGTCGCAATGTGACCTTCGCGTTGAAAATTGAGAGAAAATTGTTGGGCGCGTACGGCCGACAATCGTTGCACATACGGTTATTAGCCGTCATGGTCATCACATTAATGATATTAGCGCTTCAGCCGTTCTCAATACACATCGGTAACGTAGTCAAGGTTAACAAGTTAAAAAGTTGCGCCGTCAAAGTTTTATTTCAAAAAATAACAACGGATTTATCCCAACGCGCTATCCTATATTAATAACAAATATAGTAGTGTTTCGGAGAGAAATAGTCGTTTACAAACCGTGCAAAAGACGTAGAAAAATGTTCTAATCTTGACTTCGGTCTCAACGAAGTTAGACCCCGCAACAATAACATCGTCGTTATTTTATAATCGTTTAAGCCGCCATACGAATAATAATAATAGTGTCATATACGCATTAATGATAATATATTGTAGTATAAAATATTAGTGAATAAAGTTACGTAATATATACAACTGAATATAATAAGTTATTATAATCTAAGATTATTCGTACCAACGTATTGTTTATAATTACAGATAAGATGGTAAAAATAAGTATTTGTCGGTTAGACACAGCGGTCCTAGTTATGTGTTATAAATATTATTTGTATACAATTAAAATCAATGATAAACTATTGTATTGAAAAGATCAAAGATCCATGTTATAATATTTTGATACAAAACGCAAAAACATTTGTATTAAACTTTTATATTGTTTAGGTCCCATTTGAATTTAAAATCATGAGTTATTATACTTTATTATAGTTATTACTTAAAATGCTATCCACACGCACTGCGTAAATACTTCTGTAAACGGTTTTAAAAATATTTAATGTTCAATATTCTTATATCAGTAGAAATGTTCAACTTTTTGAGTTGATTTTTTTTTCTTCCATCAAAACACGGACTACCCAATAAACCAAAATCAGACACCGCTGAACTTTTATCGTTCAACGCTGTATTTCAAACTATTTTATAATTTCAAATGTAAGTTAAAATACATTATAACCCCTGTGATTTATTATTCATATTGTATACCTACTCTCCTACCGTCGCTATCATACTATAATTTATAACGCTGCATTTACGACTTGTGTGTGTCCAATTAAATAAACAATTCAATTTTACATTTTTCATTATTTTAGTGATTATAGTTAATAGTCTAATGTTTAATAAAAAAATAATCAACTAAAACAAGTTTATAAATGGAAATTTGTGAAAAAATATTGTCAGCAGTACAATGGTGAGCAATGATTGTTGTTGAATAAAGACAATGAAATATATAAGTTGTACAAATGTCTTGTTAATTAGTAGATAAACTAGAAATACATATGCAAGTATATAAGTAGGTTTATACATTTATTATTAATAACATGTTATTTTAGCTTGTTGCAATGTTATATTTGTTATATTATTGTTATTTTAACATTATCGTGAGATACATTTTGTTATATTTTGTATATTAAAGTTATGTATTATTTATATTGTAAAGTGATTTCAATAAGTGATGCTAAATAATGTATGTACAAATCAAAGCCAAAATTAAAATATTTGTGCAATTTTCATTTCTCTATGGTTATTATATAATAAGGTAAGTTAAATATGAAAATTAAATTTGTCAAATTTTGATATGGTGTAAATTTTTAATTATTTGCATTACTGTTATTGTGATGATCGGGATAATCATTCTGGTAAAATTTGTGTAGAAATACTAAAACTAATAAATTCCTTTAAAATTATTTAAAAATGTATGATGTATTTATTGGAATTAGTAAATCTATTAGTTTCATATTTACAATATGATAGTTACCGTAAATATGATTAATTGTACAATGTATATGGTAATGCTTATGTAACTAGCATATAATCGGTATTAGAATAAAAATAATTCAATTTATATTTAAATACTAATAAAATAGAATAAATTGCTGTTTTAATAAAATAAAACCTAGCACACGGGTCTTATAATTCAATGTTACGGCACTGATTATTCAGTTTATTGCGTTATTAAAATTTAATAAACATGCGTCCTAAATGTCGCATTATTATTAATTTATTTATTTACTCTATATCTATACATAATGAGGAATTATTATTTTTTTTCACTGTAAGATGAATTTAAAATAAATTATGTTTAATTTGCGTTAGAAGAAAAAAAAATTTGATTGAAAAACTAAAAAAAAAAAAAAAAAATGCCATGTCCTGTTATTGATATCCATGATAAGTAATGAATCCTAACACATAATTATATAAATACTTCAGTAGTTCTCAAACTTGTTTGTTCACGGAACCCTTATGTTTTTACAGTCCCGAAAATCAGAAATTTATATTCAAGATAATAATAATTATCAATATTTCATACTGAGAAACATACACAGTCCAAAATTTAAAATTTAATTGTTTTTTTATAAGCCCGGATTTGTCATTTGCTTTAAAAACTATGGTAACTTTATATTGCCTTGATAAGTTTACTTCATTTTTTTTTTTTTTTTTTGAAAAAATACCAACCAAATAATGAAGTCGGAATAATCAAATTGTATCGGAAGTTTGAGTTGTAAATTAAATGGGTGTTACTCGATCGTACAATTCATTGCGCAATCCGAGTAATCATACCAGTGTTTTTTCTCGATAAATAAGAATTATAATAATATTTAAATTTAATTAATTTAGGTATGCCCATGGAGACCCTACACTTCTCTCACTGAGCCCTAGGGCACATTTTGACAATCACTGATATATATTAAATAATTTATTTGATAAGACATTTGTTTGGTAAAAATGCTCATTATAGAGCATATTATCAATTTTAAGAAAATAATAAATATAGTTTTGATGATTACTAATGAATAATAAGTAGGTAATATGTTTAATATATTTAATGATTTTTAAAAATATATTTGTGTCAATTGTATATCATAAAGTGAAAGAACACAAAACTATTTATGAAATAAAAAATGATACGAATAATTTTTATACATAAAAAAAATATGCTTAAAATTAAACTTTACTTGGCTTTAACTTTTTTTACGTGTACAAATCTAGTAATATTATTTTTAATCACTATTGTAACATACAGAATCATAACTAATAAGCTTATTGTTATTGATAATACGAACAGTACAATGTCCAATTGATGATACTCATACCAAGAAAAATCGATTGCTGGTGATCTCAAATGTTTAGCTCCTTTATGATTAATTACATAATTCGTCCAATAAGTGACTAATAGTTTAGGTGACATTGGCTGATCTTTGAATAATTTATACAACTTTTGAACATTTCTTTTGTACCTATAAACGTTATGTAATGTAATTTAGTTTGAATATGATAACACATTTTATTTAAATACAAAAATAATTTGTTATTAAACGTTATTCACGTACACAGAAAATAATACATAGATATTGGAAATGGTTTGAATATTTGAAACGTTTTTAATAAATTTCATAATTTTAAATTCTATTTAACGTTTTTTTTTTTTTTTAACGTATTCTGATGAATTTTAAAAACATAAAATTTTACTAATGCCATTAGTTTCATGCCATTCAATATCATTTATTTCATACAACATGAATATTTATAATAATTTATATATTTGAAAAAAAATAAAAATATTAGGTACTTAAATCATAAACATTTATTAAAATACAAAAATATAAAAGGTAATTTAAGAAGTTCAATACTGGATCGTATTTACATAAATCATAAGATCATCAGTCTTTGTAAAACATATGGATAATATGAAATAATACAGTTACTTTTCGTTATTGATTATTTCTTTAATGGCAACCAGAACTGATTGTTTATCCAGTGTTTTATGATTCAGACTTAAGCCCATTCCTAAATAAACTGCATTTGCTATGTTTCTGAATTGATCGGCGAATAATGGAATGCCTAGTATAGGCACTTTATTGGCAATTGCTTCATTCATACTAGACAACCCACCATGGTAGATAATTAATTTCAATTTCGGATGAGCTATATTTAAACAAAGAATAAAAATATTGGTTTATATATCTTTATCAAATGGATTGGAATAGCCTCCGGGTGCCATAAATTATATATCATACATATACTACTGAATACATGAATGTAATAATAACAGTTAAAATCATTATTAAAATACATATTTATTTTATGCTAGTATAATTATGCAGTTTTTGCTTCAAATCTCTACAGTTAATATTTTGAGGCTTGAAAACCAAATAAATGATTATGTATACTAAACGCATTGAACAGGTATTTGCTGTAAAAAAAATGTACAGTTTGTAGATCGAAGTAATTCTTCTGGTCAACATTTTATTGGCTCTATGTCCCTGCCCCTCTACTTTAAAAATTCAAAACCAAAGTTTTGCCATTTGTTTGTAATTCGTTTTTGCTGATTTGTGTTTTCAATCCTGTCGTGTATGCTCAATCTTTTTTTCAAGCTATCCAAATTTAAAGTAGAGGAATGAAATTTACCCCAGCTATTTCCCTTTGTAGAAATTATTTTTTTTCTTCTCACGTTTCTGTTGGTAACTAATTGCTAAAAAATAATGATAACACCATCAAAGTTCGGGATCTTGGGATCTTGTCCGATTATCCAGTTGGGATTAAAACATACTACCGTTCATCAGATTTTAATAAATTATTTGGAGATGGGAAAAATCTGCGCAAAACTAGTTCCAAAAATTCTGTCACAAGATCAGAACGAAAACAGGATGGACAGGAGTCTTGATTTCGTGAAGCTGATTGAAAATGATTATTCTTTCTTAGAACGGGTCATAACTGGTGATGAGTCTTGAATTTTCGAGCACAATCCGGAAACAGAGCGCCAAATCCAAGAATGGCACACTTCAGCTTCACCAATGCAAAAAAAAAGAAGAATGAGCTAGTCAAAAATCAAAAGCATGCTCATTTTCTTCTTTGATAGCCAAGGAATAGTTCACAAAGAGTTATCACTCAAGGCTAAACAATAAACCAACACTTTTATAAAGAAGTTCTTGAAAGACTTAGGCGGACATAGCATTATCCCAGCCCCAAGTTGGAAGTTTAATAGCATGAAAAAGGGTTGAGCACAAACGATTACACTCATAGTTTATAATATATATTTTAAGTTTCGTTAAAAAATGTTAAATTTAAATTTTTATTCACCTAGTATGTCTCGTTGTGGAAACCACTTTTTTATCATAACGTTCTTTGGTTGATTTTCCATTACATCACTGTTATATCTCCATAAAATTCGCTGAGGTAGTTCAGAAAATGCTTCTTTTAAGGCATTTTGTAGTCTTGCTGGAATCGAATCCATTTTCACAATAGAGCCAAAAGAAAAATATATCACTCCATCTGGAGCATCATCCATAAAATTTTGTATTTCCTAAGTAATAACGTGTATTTTTATAAATTAAAACAAATGTAGATCATAAAATATTTTCACTTCTATATGCTGCAGTCACAGTGGCGCCGATCTCAGGGTTCAAGTCTAGTCATGACCAGACCATATTTTAGGGTAATGGGTGGTACCGTGGTGGATTAGTATACTCGTACGATTAGTAAATTAATTATTCCAACTAACTATGAATTATAATACTGCCCAATTAATTATTACTTTATAAGATGTTAATGTACCTAAAAGCTATCATAAATACTGAAATATGTTAAAAAATTTGTAGAGGGGGGATTGAATTCCTAACCCTTTATAATATGTACTTGAGTAGGATCTGTTATAAGTTGTGAATTGGGTGGCTATTGATCAGACCATTCAATATTTTATTCAGCTCCAATATGCAGCTGAAATACCAGATAAAAAAATAAAAATACAGCCAACTCGCGATATAACAAAACTCTATATAATGAAAATCTCAATGTAACGAAGAAAACTGGCATCCCTTTAAAAATATCGTCATACAACAAACACTTAAATGTATTTTTATTTCCTCGATATGACGAAGTTATTTTGGCCAAAGCTCTCCGAATGAAACATTTTTATATAATTTTGGAGCTTGATATTATACTTTGGAATTTTCCGTAACCTTAATAGAAGCAAAATCAAATCTCCGCCCTGTTTTAAATTATCTAAGAGACATGACATCAACATCAATGCGTTTTGTAACATTTTGGATTTGGACAACGCTATTGACCGGGTAAACGAAAACGGTTACACATTAAATAAATTACTGATTTTGAAAATAATAAATATGAATACTTAATTAAATAATGATTTTTATATTTATGTATTAAATATCAATAACTGCATATATCTAACTATCTATATATATATATATATATTTACATGTACCCAATATAAATATGTTTTATTAAATGAAAATGAATACGTATTTGTAATATGTTAAATTAAATTTTTAAGTTTTTAAATCTCGCTAAAACAAGTTTTGTTAGTTATGTTATTGATGTAACGAACCTTCGATTTACCGAATTTTTTTTTCGATCCCTTTGAAATTCGTTACAACACGAGTTGACGTTTTATGTATTGTGTACCGTAGGACGAAAATAAAAAAATAATAAAAAAGTGATTAAAAAAATACATTAACAATTGAAATAAAAGAAATTGATACATTTTTAAAATTAAATGTAATTTGATTAAAAATTAACTTTAACATCTTATATCAAAGAACATCGTTCGTTATAAGCCTCTTGCTTTTATGTAATATAATTTATAGTTAATTCAATTCAATAACATTCCGAAGCCACAAATATACTAGTTTATCAAGTAATTAATTAACTACCTCCGGCAATGTTTTGGGATGGGTTATATGTATTCCTCCAATTTCGATTAAATTCGGTGACCACGGTCTTGGCAAGTCAAAAGTAAAATGACTGTTAACGAAGACGAGTGAAATTTTTTTCATCAGCATGTCGGCGTCCGGAACGTCCTTACCAAAGTATGTTCTTCCGATGATCGTTGCGTTACGGTCGTACCACATTCTCTGAACGTTCGTGTAGACGTAATCGTAACTGTTTAACAAACGGTCCCAAAAAGTTCTAGGTCTTGCCGTCGGAGCATATATCGTAGAAGTGCTGGACGTAATAAATGGATTGCCCAACAAACCATCGTACCTGGAAAACGGCGCGATTACAAAAAAAAAAAAGAAAAATGTTGACGTATTTCATACCGTGCGAAACGCACGGTACGAGAATTGATAACACTGTCAAGCGCATACCACGTGGGCATGGCAGAAGTGGTGATCGCGATCATTGGAACTTGCAGTTCGTGCGCTATGTACGCATCGCAACCGGAGCCCAACAGCTGCGTAACGAAAAGATCGTATTTATTGGACTTGAGCGCTGTCCAAAAGTCTTTAGACTTGTAAATGGTCTCACATGTTTTCTGATGCGTCTTGATTAGATACTCAACACCGTTGAACCCGGCGCAGTTTTTAAAGGGTTGTGGTATCGATATTGTTGAAGTGTAGTCTTGCCGAGACAGCGGATTGATCTTAACGAGAAGAGTCACAAAGTCAATTGTCGTCGAATTCACGTGGTGTTCGAATACATTTCGATCATTCGACCATCATCGTTTTCGTAATGTTACCGGAATACGAAAAAAAAAAATTATTCCTTTGAAATTAGCCTCCCAAAAATGTGGAATACGTTTTTGTTTTGGGTTACGTCCATAGAGATTTTATACAACTCAAGTTTAAAGAATTAAATTGAACTAATTTTTTTTTCCTTTTTTCAGTATTTATTTATTTTTAAACTTATTTGATCATGCACGTCACTACAAAATATCATTGTAAACGATGAAACATAATAATATCGTAATCTGTGAACAATTACAGTTTACCAAACTACTGACTAATTTCTAAAAATATTAAACGATAAATGTAGTGTACGAATAAAGTGCAAGGAAAATAAAATTCCAAGTGCTCACTAATATTCACCGTGTCATATTACTATTTGCCGATTCAAACCACGTTCAAGAATAATTTTGCGGAGGAACGGTTATGCCACCTAATCAGTCATTATTTATTGGATCATCGCGAATAAATAATACGAGAACGCTTTACCCGGAAAAATGCGTACCTGCGTATAGTTGGCGATTCTTTCTTTTTTCGCATACGAAGTTACAGCGGTTACATTATGACCGGCAGACACGAGTGTTTGTAGCACAGCATCCATTACGTTCCAATGACTCGTACCGACCATCGGCACGACAGCAAATATTTGTGCTCCATGGATAACGGTTGATAAAAGATATATTATGTTTATAATAATTACTTTTCCGGTAATTTTCATTATAATACGATCAAATGCACCGACCACGTTCACGCGATGCAACAATGATGTATTAGTTTTTGTTTTTACCGTGTAATTAATACCTTTTTGTTCAAATGAATCGTTATAATGCACTGAATCTGGCAAAACCTTTATTGTTAAAATATTATCATGAATTATGCCTAGACGCTGAAACTTAAGTCTATACGACCATTGAACTTCCGATAAATCGCATACTTTAGTGATAAGATTTTAGATACGAGTATATGAACACTCGTATATTGAAACTATAAAAATAAGTTATTAAACATGTGATTTTATTGAACTTGTACGTAGTGTTAAGTCTTATCTAGATAAAAATTTTAATCATCTATTATTTTATGTAGATAGAATTATAAACGTTATCTATTTATCTATCTTACGAGTAGATAAAGACTTTGGTTATTTTTAGTACTATTTATTTATGTAAGTATTTAATCATCAATAATTATTTAAAACATTAATATTATTATAAATTAATTATTTATTATTAAATATATAATAAATATAATAAAAATATTCACACATAAAGTGCCTTGGACCATGGGTTTCAATTTTTTGGAAATTATTATCCCAAGTTCATTGATGAAACCAAAATATTTTAATTCTATAGAATTATTACAATTGAAAAGGTTACCAAATATCGATGGACGTTTATTGATTATTCTTAATACTGTAATAACACAGTCCTGTGAAGTATATATATATTTTTGTTGTTATTGTATAATAATACCTAATTCTTATAGATGTTGACACACCGAATTAAAATTTGAATTTAATTCGTTTCTATCAAACCTAGTTTTTTATACAATTTATATTTACATATAATAAAAATATTTACATCAATATATAATATAATTATATATGTATAATAATAGAATGTATACAATATTCACGATCAAACGTACTACACAGAATAACTATCATCAGTTGCACGAGTTTTAAAATATTAAAAGATAAACAATTTAATACAATTGATTTATTTGATTTATTGAAGTAATAATAATATTATAAAAGACTAGTTGACCCGACAAACGTTGTTTTGTCATATAAATTATTTCTAGAAAATATTTTGCTAGAAAAAAATAACTAATTTAATATAGGCGTGTAAGAACGTGGTATATAAGTGGAAGAGGTATGGAGTGCTGAGAACGGTGACAATAAAAATGAAAAACATCAAGCATTTATTTTTTTAATAATTTATTAAAATTGATCCATTAAAATTATATATATATTGCTAATTCTGAAAATATTAGTAAAAAACAATATAAATCCCTTAATGCAACAGGATGTACAATATTTTTTGTTATCCCATCTTTCGCCAACACAAACAAACTGGATGGTTCGAGGGCTAGTTAGTGGCTGGACTGAGTATAATATAACAAGTAAATTCTATAGATGTATTGTTATCAATTTATCATCATTGTTTAAATTGACTATTGAGTATATAACTGTTATCTTATTCCGAACAGGGGTGGCTCCAGGGGCAAGGGGCTGCGCCCCCTCGAACCCGTACCGTATTTATAAAAAAATTTATATTGTTAACGAAAAATGCATATTATAATATGGACTATCAAACGACACGCACAAGTAAAGCCATAGAGGTATGACGATTGCAAGGAGATTCTCCATATTTTGGAGACTAAAAAGCTGGCTTCGTTCAAGGATGACTGAAGGTAGATTATCAGCATTATATCTAATTAATGTATATCATAAATAGATATTCAAGATCAAATAGATCATATTATTGATATTTTTGCCAATTTTAAAAATAGATGACTTGAATTTACGTTGTAAAAATTATTGTTTTCTTTTGTTATAAGATTTTGTAAAATTATAACTTGGCCCTCCCTAACCAAGGCTCTGGAGCCGCCTCTGATTCCGAACGCATATTTATATTTTGTATTGATTTTCTTTCCTACAAAATGTACTCAAAAAAGATAAAAAGTTTAAACTTTGAAATTATGACCATTAAACATTAACTGTATTGTAGTCTTCAACTCATGTGTATCCAAAAGCAATGAGGTAATATATATTTAATATTAATTCATGGCAGAAATCAATTTAAACATATCATTATTTATGAATATAAAAATAACTTTTATTTCTCAATTTATATTATAAAATTGCAACACATTTCAAATGCCTGAAACGAATATATAATTTTTTACAAGTGTTAATCCAAATAATACTTAAAATGTATGGAAATTGTAATATAAAATCACTGTTGTTTAAAAATGCATCTTTCTTTTTATCTAAATGAATTATAATTATCTTTTATCCTTTACAACGATAATTTTAGTTGATCTTATTTGTATTTTTATCTAGATAAAAAAAATATTTATCTATGCGCAACTCTGGGTGTACCTATCCAAATTATATGACTTTGTGACTTATGTGACTTATCTGACGATAAATTTTTAATTTAAAACTGGCCGTACTTTACAATGATTATAAAATTTCAGGCTAAACATTTATTTATTTATTTATTTGTTTATTTATATAAATTAGTTGTTTATTTATATATATATAATGATTAACATATCTTGAATATCCCTATTTGTTCTTTTTGTGCTGCTCTGGCACTGGCTATAACGTTGTTTATCATGAATATTTTTTAATACACGATTCACAAATTCACGGCCGTTGACTGATTGTAAAATAGAAGGAGCTTCGAAAATACAAAAAATAATAATCATCAATGTTTGGCAAATTCTTCGACCTTATTACTTATGAATGATCTATCTGAATATAATTAGTTACTGATATCGATAGACCATAATTTATGTGTAATCCTTAACAGGTCGGGCCTACATATCTATCAAATCAACTTGGTATCAGGAATTAATTTTCAAAAAAAAACCATTGGTTTTATTACCAAATCTTTTTTTTTTACAATCCAGTTTGGTTTTGCATGGCTCACAAAATTTTAAAAATAAAATAATTGATTCTCGTGTTACATTTTTTGTACTTAAGTTTCAAATCTTAAATCATTCGATATTTTCCACCATGCTCAACATTTATACGATATGTATTTGTTAGTATGATAACACATCAGTGCATTGTAATAGCAGTGAATACCTATTTGAATTAAAAATATTTTAGTAGTATAAAGTATATAGTATTTTTTATATAAAGTGTTTTGCAATACTGGATGCATACGACTAAAATATAAATATTTTATAAGCGTTGTGGTGATAGTTATAAAATATACATGAAAAATATAAAAATTGATTATAATAAAAGCTTCAAAGAAAAATCTAATCCAGTATAGATTAAGAACACTTAAAAAATATTTTGGTTTAATATACATGGTATAATCATTTAAAGTTGTATAATATAATACACATAGCGTATGCTCAGTGTGTATCAGCTGTGCCACAGCACACCCTGTGGCCCGTGGTTTTTTTTACAACTTTTATTCATTCGGGGACTTTATTTCAAGTTTAAGCTACAAATAGTAAAAATTAAATAAATTAAATTAGGATCGCCATTAAAAATGGCAAAATTCTAATCCATGGATTAATCCAAATGTATTCTGACTTTTTTAGGAGAAAGGGTTAGGTGAGATTCGGTAAGGCTCATATAAAGGAAAGTGGCCAAATTTTTTTTCATAGCACACCCCATAGAAAATAAGAAAAACTTAAATTAAAAGCAAATGTATACAATGAATTATATTTGCTTAATCAAAATTTAAAAAATTTAGAGATTAGACATATGGCTGTAAGCCAAAGATGGAACTAGGAATTTTTACGTTCGTAGAAAGTTTTAAAATTACGCCCTATCATAAACCAATAATCAAATACTTTTCTCAAGAATTTTTTTTCTAATAATTAATATACAATCATATTTATTGAATTATAACCTAATATCAGTATTTAACAAAGTTAAAAATATCAAATTAATAATTAATTTTTGTAATTATTAACAATTATTATTCGTGGCCACTCACAAATGTAGTATTGAACTGTCTAGAGGTACGAACAGAGGATATTGTATTGAATCATTTAGTTTAATAAAAAAAAAAATACTAATTGTAACATTTAAACTATACAGATTTTAAATTAATGATACGTACTTCTTTTGGAACTTCTTTGCTTATAAAATATTTGACCATTAATACTAAAAAAGTTGTGAAACTTAATTTATATTTCTTTTTACAAAATAAGTTAAGCTTAAAAGAATGTATATTGGTAGGTTAAAAGTTGGTAACAAAAATATTTATCCATAGCTTAGCTAAATTAAAATTAACTTAGTTTAATTTCCTACGTTATTTCCTATTGCCTTACGTTCATTATAATTAAACATTTTTTAAATATTATATCAATACACTTTTTACCATTTATAGCAATTTAAATTTAAATTACGGGCTAGCGGAACATCAATATTAGAAGAAACATTAAGTTTTTAATCTTTATTTGATTTTTTTAAAACCAAACATTTGATTATTGATAGCTTTTTTTAACCAATAAATTACATAGAAAATAAGTAATATAACCGATAATACATATAATAAAACATCGATTATAAAATATTGATACCAAGTTAGCTTGAGAGCAGCTGATTTTAAATGATGAGCACCTTTGTGTTTAATGACATATTCTGTCCAATATATTATTTCTTCTTTTGGCGTTTTCGGTCGATCCTTGAATCTTCTTGAAAGTTCCATCATGTTGAACTTATACCTATATTCAAAATATTACCAAACTTAAGTACACGTTTATTTGACTATATTATTTGTACTTAAGCAAGTTATTTACGAACAAATCGATGTTTTTTTTTTTTTTTAATAAAAGGTCTCACTTAGAATAGTTAGTTATCATATGCTTAGTAGCATTCACTAAAATATCTTTGGTGAGCGTTTGATGATCTAACATTTCACCAGCACCCCAATGAACTAAATTGGCAATATTGTGTGGTTGATCAAAAATCAGAGGAATACCAAGTACAGGGACTCCACTATCGATAGCTTCATATATTCCGGATATACCACCATGAGATATAAATAGCTTCACATTCTTGTGATCTGAAATGAAAGTATTGGTTTATTAACAAGTGAATAAAAAGTATACCGAGATTATAGTATATCTTATACAATGTGTTGTCATTAGTGACAAGAATGCGTGAAAATTTATGGCACGTTCTCTTATTTGTAATTGGTCAAATTTTGAAACTATTTTTGTAGCAATTTTATTGATTGACAAATAATAAATAATAATATTTATTTTTCTATTACTAGTCCTGTATCCAAATACTTATAAACAAAATAAATTAATTATTTGCGAGCCTGGACCATGATTATACAATGTAAAACCCAATCAAAAAAATTCAGAAACGAGGCTCATATTTTATTTTTGTTCAAAAAATATCAAAAATGTGCAAATAATGTTAACTCTTATTTTCTTAATGAACCTTTTGTAGAAATATAAGAAGATTTTCCTGATAAACGAGTGTCAAAAAAAAAATAAAAAATATGATGTGTTAAGAAGTTTTTTGTTTAGTAAAAAGAAATATTATTTTACATATTATTATTATTATTATTTATTACACACAATATTATATATTGTACACATTTATTATAATAACAAAATAATAGTTTAATTTTAAATATATATTTTCTATATGTTGTGTATGAAATCAAGTAAGTATATATTCAATTATAATACATTATTTAATATGCTATCAAAATATTCATGTATATATTTTGTATGTAAGTGCGATACAACGAAACATGCCTTTCACAATTTCAACCCAATATTAGGTAAATTTTGATAAAAAATTGGCCCTAAAAAAAAATCCCTTCCTAGGCCTTTCATATCCCAGGCCGACACTGGTTGTCATTATGTCATGATTTAGTTGAAATAATCGATAATTAAAACGCAAATTCTTCTTTGGTATTACGATAATTACTTTTCATTAAAATGTATAAAAATCTACTTTTTTGTTTTAAATAATTATCTGTAATACATGTACCGAATGATTTTATTAATCTTCTATTAATATTTAAAATGTTTACCTAATATATCTCTTTGAGGAAACCATTTTCTTATCATTACGTTTTTTGGTAAGTCACCTATGATTGTACTTTCATACTTCCATAAAACTCTTTGGGGAAATTCACTTAATGCTTCTACGAACGATTTTTGCAAACGTATTGGTGCAGTATCCATTTTGATCGTAGATCCGAATGTGAAATATATAACGCCGTTTGGAGAATCGTTAATAAACTGTTCGATATCCTGTCAAAGAAGAAAAATATTAAACATAATAAAATAATAACCTTACTTATATCCCAGATAAGAAAGTCAGTTTTCCATTAAAAAATATTTCTCCGTGTATTTGAAGTTAAATTTTCGCTCATTATTTTTTTTGGGTAGCTGAGTGGCAAGAATCGGTGAAGAACATTACTATTATTATTATAAAAATGAATTAGGCGAACCTTGTGATTTTCCAATTTATGATTGGTAGAAAGGACAGTGGACGACTTCATCGTTTTATAGCGTGATTAATGTACGCGTGAGAGTGTATGGTGTAAGTATAGAATAAACTGTGTATTTCTTGATCGTTATTAGTGACGTCAAATATGCTAATCGTTATATTATCGCAGATTATAGAAAGAAAAAAAATAGTATAGGCGTTAAAATCTTCTTTTTTTTTTTTTATCAAAATCATCCGATTTACAATGTATTTGATTGAAAATGTCCGCGTGCGATCGACGTACCGAATAGTTTATTGACAAAATGGTATAACGGCAGAGAGGCGAAATAGGGTTTTTAGCACCCCTGAGTTCAAATGTAGCACTCATGTTTATTTTCAGATCTATATAGTCTATAGTAATCACAGTTAAATAGGTACTATTTTATTTTATATTCAGCAATTTCAACACTCCCAATGTTTGGACTCTAGTTGCGCCCATGCATAAGGGTAAACGTCTATAGTGTCCGCGGAGGGCACGATACTCCGACGGGCGGGGGCGCGTTGTTAAACATTCAAATAGAGAGAAGAGTAAAAACGCGTACGTCGGCCAACGGTTTGGGTTGCACCAGGTGCACGCCTCCGATGTCTACGAAATTGGGCAGCAGCGGCCGGGCCAGGTCGACGGAGCGATGGCCGTTGACGAACACCAGCGACGTGTTCCGCATCAGGCGGTCGGCGTTCGGCGCGTTGGACCCGAAGTACTTGCGGCCGATGGCTGTCGCTTGCCGGTCCACCCATTTGAGCACCGCGTGGGCGAACAGATAATCGTACGCGTTGGCCATCCGGTGCGCGAAGCTCTCGGGCACGGCGAACGGCGCGTGAAACGTGGCCACGTGCGAGGGGTTCATGTGACTGCCCAGCGTGTGATGGTACCACGTGTGCACGTGGCTGGACGTGATGACGATCCGCGGCACGTCCATGCGGTACGACACGTACGCGTCGCACGACGAGGCCAGCAGCTCGGTGATGAACAAGTCGAATCTACGGGACGAGAATCGGATTGAAAATCGGATATTTAAAACCGGATCGCGGCCGTCCGCGCACGAGGTTCTCGGTACGGATCGGCTAAACCCGAACGAAACGGCCGACGGATCGCCGGTGCATACTACTTACGTTCGAGATTATTACCAGTATGTAATTTGCGTCCCACCAAAAAAGGTTCAAGAAAGATCATAGCTTATTCGCGTCCAAGAATACCTATTGAGACAGCCAAGTTGCGTCCCAAGACAAATAAGTCATACACATAGCATAAAAAAAGTATTACAAGTAATTAATTACATTTTAAGTTTTTCAAATCAGTTTTATAAATACGGCTCGGAAATTGTATGGCGACAACTGAACATTGTCATGGTACGTAATTAATTTTATCATACCGAAACTCTATAATAGCTGATAATATAGTTAGCGGTATGTGAAATTCGTCCAAAAACAGTACTACAGTTAGTTACTAATACGACTGATTAGTAATAACTAGGGCCCGGAATTGTATCCATTTGCAAATTTTTATATATCTAACTAAAAATTAGCTAGGTAAGACAGAAATTTGAATCTTAACCTGAAGTGTTGGTATGCGAAATTAAATTTGGCATATTTTTGCATATTTGGAACATTTCAAATTATTATGCATATTTTAGCATTTTTCTGAAATATAATGCATATATAGAAAAAAATATTATGAAGTTATTAATATTATTATTTATTATTTAGCACATGTCCATTGTAAATTCCGTGAATCGTGCAGTTATATAATTTGATTTTTGTGTTCTAATAAGACAAGATAAAGTTGGCTAAAAGAACCAATACGATAGTAACTCTCCAGGTAACTTTAAAAATATTATAAAATTCCGCTTCATCTGTTTAAATTGATTTTCGTTTGTGAATATTTGTTTAAATGAGTGAGTGTTAAAATAAAATTTAATTTCAATACAACATACAGTTCTATACAATTTAATAAAATATATAAAATACAGTTGATATATTTTAAAGTATATTTTTTGTTAAATATTAATTACTTAATGAATTGTATACATTTTAAAATTAAATTAATTTAATAAATAATAAACGTGCATTTTTGTTTGCATATTTTCGCATATTTTTTCATATTTTGAGTACATATTTGAATGATAACCATTGCATAAATGCATGCATATTTCGTACGTTTTTAGCGTATATAATTCCGGGCCTTAAATAACGTATTAATTATTACTAATAATTAATACGTTATTTAAGTATAACTATCACCTATGGTCTCTACTTTATAGTCTGTACGTCTACGGTCTACATGATTAATTCATAATAAATACTATAAAAGTATAAAGTAAAATGCCGTTTAGTAAATGTTTGATTCATTTTGCGCAATTGACTATCCTCTAAATGTATTCTTATTATACGCCATAAGCCCTTGCGGATTACTGTGTAAATAATGTAGTTAATTGTCATATTTATTAATTTTAAATTTTGTCTTTTGATAATAATTACCGATCCACGGTAAATACCGAAAGATCGGTGTACCGGTTAGTGTTAGATGCCGATATTTATAAATACCGGTGACTCACCGGTACATCGAAAATACCGCCAACTCTAGCTGATAATATTAATTTATCGATAGTCACAGATATTATACTATAAACACAATTTACACATCTATGATTATTGTAACACATAATATTTATGGACGCATCTCGGTCATGATTATTATAGCAGGTAAGAATAATATGGTCGAGTTGTGTCCCTAAGACGGGACGCAAGTTACGTGTTGAATTTACTATCTAAAAAATATACCTTTTTGGGGGACGCAAGTAGCATGTATTCCGTTAAACACACCGTCTTTGTGGAAATAAAAATTAAAAAAAAAAATTTTAATCAAAAAACAGCGCGTTTCGACGGACTCGCACCGACCGTTGTCGGCAACCAAACGCAAGCGAGTGTCCCTCGGAAACGCGTTATTTTCGACTCGTACTCGTACTACTCGTGGATCGTCCGCGACAGGATAACGGGTACGTGGACAATTACTTGTTGGATTCGATGACTCGGTAGAACTGCTCGTGCTCGAACAGTTTCCGGCAAGTGAGTTTGTGGCGGCCGGAGAGGAACGGTAGGTTGTTGGCTTTCGACGATTCGTCTACGACTTTGTCCCAGGGCACGCTCATGCCTGACGGCATCAGGTGCGAAATGTCCACTTCCGTGTAGTTGCCCACCGGTTCCTTCTTGAGGAACGGCGTTATGGCCGTCACGTTGTGTCCGTGGCCCACGAGCGTCTGCAGTACGGCGTCCATCACGTTCCAGTGGCTTTTGGCCGGAAACGGTATCAGCGCCAGGATTTGCGCGCCATCAACCGCGCGGTGATATCCCAACGCTAGTAGACACACTACTAACCAACAACATCGGTCGAACATCGTATCGAGTGCAGTCACTGCGTAGTAGAAAAACGGAGGGTTTTCAAATGTTTCTCTCTGTAAAATTATCGTTATCGGCTTTTTTTTTTTTCGTTCAAATTAACTTTCAAGTAAATTATATAATATTTCAACACTGAAATACGATTTCTGATCTTTATCTTCATCTGTTCTTGTTTTCCTTCGAAAACTGTCGTACAATGTAATACACAATTTAATACATATATAGTTACTAACCACTGTTATTAGAGCAGGCGTTAATACGAAATAAACCGTATTCCATACACAAGTAGTAGATAGTAAATAGTAGTACTATTTACAATACGAGAAATGGTATACAAGATAATAATGATAATACCAAACATATAAACACTAGCTACCGTTGGTGAAGGCGTTAATACGGATAAACTGTAATCCATACATAAGTAGTAGTAAAATTACAAAACTCACTGTGATCACGCTGCTGTCGGGTGTTGATGATGACGTTGATGGCACAACTGATAGATGGCGATGTAAATGTTCTCCGTTGATCGGCTTTGCTGTAGCAGACGTCGTGTACTGTAGTGACCACTAGCTTGGTGATTCCGGAACGAGAGGCAACTATACAGGGCAGTAATACGGGTAATCGTGTTGCGCTGTGATAACAGTACTCGTCCTGACCTCTTAAGCTCAACGGTCGGACTAGGCCGCAATCGTCGCGCACCGCCTCTATTTCTGCCCGTTGCGAGTAGTAGCTCGGTATTAGCGCCTGAATCATTTGTAGCCTATATTCTCATTCTCTTCCTTCAACTTCATTCTATAGTTTTTGCCCTATATGTGTATAATTATTTCTTGAATGTCAGAAGGGTTTGTTCATTTCAAACATACTCTGTCCAGTGACAGAAAATGTCGTAGGTAAACGGCCACCATCCATTCTCATTACGAGTAGAAAATCAGAGCGCTCTATTAACAATTTCACCGTGTCGAGCAGCCGACCAACCGATACCTTACGCACGCACAGGCGCGTGATATATGCACCATACGAGTGGCACTATTTCGTTACAATATTCGCAAATTTATTTTATGGTAGAATCAGCAAGACAAGACGATTATCATAAGTAAATAAATCTTTAACTTTTGAGTTATATCTAAAAATTACCACATATTGAAACCAATTAAGTTTTTAAATTGAGACTGTACATAAGATTTCTTCTACAAGGATTGCTTCCATTATTAACTAGTATTTTTTCCTGATAGCTTTTATTCGGTTCGAAAATTCAATATGATATTACATGCATTTTTTTAAAACTATTCCAATCGGGTTATTTAGAGAAATTTATAATTATAGACGGAAAAGTTTACAAGATACCAGTTAACGAAAAAATCAATGTTCTTTTTTTCTAATTCAAAAAATAAAAATAAAATATACTTGAAATTAAATACTAGTAAATATCATCGTTTTCTAAAAATCTTATGATTTTTAAAAGACTGATTCTTTTGTTCCATTTTTAAGCTCTTGAAATGTTCGACCTTTTATTTTATTTGTATTTGTCTATGGTTTAATAACATTTTAAATTTTTATTTCTAACACTTGTATACAGGACTACTTATAATTTGGTCTTAATTCAGTGTAAAAATATTAAAAATCTTTAGCTTTAATTTTTTTTACATGTATTAGAATATTAAATTTTGACGAAATCGGGTAATTCAAAAAAATTCTTTGAAATCCCCTGAATATCAATCATACGAATTTCAAGTAGACTATTTGGTTATTCAGATATTGCATGCCGTCAATACAACAGTTCATATAAAGGATGTTTGTTAGGATAACTCCAATAAAAATACTCAATCTAAGTTAAACTGTTTTTATTGAAACATTCTAATTATAAGTATTTATTTAATTTAACAAATAGACTTGCGTGAAGATGCTGCAAGGTCGGACTGTAATACCTTTCTGTTACTAGATCGGACTAAAAATCATCTGAATATTGGTGTCTTCAGAACTATCTTATATACCCCATTTCTCATAGTTGATCCGGACCTGGCAAATGCTAACCAACTAGTTCTGTGCGACTCGCCTTGGTATTCAGTTTGTTTTTACTTGTATTTTGTGCTCACAATCCTTGATTACCTATTATGTAACCGGTTGGTCTCGTGAATTCCGTATTTTACACATATCTTACTGATGCCTATCTATAATAGTTTTTCTAATATTGATTATGTAATATGTGGTCTTCTTTACAATATAACTCATAAGGACCTACATCTACTAGCGGTAAGAATTCAAAATAAAATCTATATAACTATAAAACAATATAGTTTAGACCAGTGGTTATAAACGAGGGCGATATCACCCCTCAGTGGGCGGTGTAGTATCACTGGGGGGTATTGAACTATTTTTGGGTGGTAGGGGAGGGGGGCGGTGAACTAGTTTTGGGTGGTAGAGGGGAGGCAAGCGTGTTGCAAAAACGTTGTGCATGGTGTGACCTAAAAATAATTCATACTTAATAATCCGTATAAAAACTATTAGTTACTAATAGGTACTATATGTTGAGCAATGCACAATAACATATCTTTCATTGTTGATACATTTATTATCTTTATTATTTTAGCGATTGTGCATGGACATTGTATTTTATTATAGATACGTACCTATATTAACCAACCTTTTAGCAAACCGTTTGATTTGACCCGCACATGTTGTATTAGTTTTCGTTATTATACTCGTAATATTCAGTCTGTTAAAAACGCGTTTTTTAAAAAAAAATTATTACAAAAATACATGGGTAAATATCTACAAAAACAATAAAAGCAATATTTTTTATTTAATTTTAAATTTTTTTTTAAAAGTAATATTTTTTCTAAATAAACTAAAAAATGTATTTATTATTATAAAATAAAATTGATAATTTTTTAAGATTTTTCAAACGTTTAATTTAATTAATTTACTAGTACCATAACTAAAAAAATATGAAAAATAAAACATAAATGAAAACATTAGTTATGAGATAATTATTCAAATTTTTTTTCAAATTTTCCAAATCATTAACTTCTTTCCTATCTCTAAGCCCAAATCATTCATTATAGAATTTTCACATAGGGGACGTTAAAGAATTGATTCCTACTGAAGGGGGCGATAACATAAAAAAGGTTGAGAAACACTGGTATAGACCATTGTCCGTTACACAAGTTATAGTTTATATATCCGTCCGTCTCTTATCTTTATACCGTATATTAGAACCATCACGTTGAACTTTGATCAGTTTATAATTCAATATCTATTTATATTATACTATACTTAATTTATTAATAATATATTTTTAGACACGCGGTAGCGTGTCAAGCCAAGTTCTAACAGAACTGGCGAGGAGCACCGTGTGTAATATTACACGAACCATTTGGAGCCACTTTTGACCACCTCATAACTCAAAAACTACTACACATAAATATATCAAATTTGACTTATATATTGAGACTTACGAGATACATATGTGTTCCAAATTTCATAAACACATCTAAAATCGTTATTTAGATATTAACGTCTCAAAATCGTCACTTTAATCATTGACTGACCAAAAGATCAAAATTCTAACCCAGTTCCAGATGACCTAGAAAGTTCAAATTTGGCATACAGATAGGTAGTTAGGTGAGTACAAAGGAAAAATCAGAAACTTGTAAATTTTTTTAATTTTTTAATTAATTGATTTTTTATAATTTTTCAATTAATTAAGTGCCTCTTTTTTATTTAATATAATGTAATGTAATGTTGACTTATATAGCTCCGCTAACCTTAACCGTATCGCCGCATTAAAAATATGTCCAGTCGAATATGTGTCGATATTGGCGACCCGCGTACACCAACATACTTTTTATTTCTATTTTCTATGTATTTAATTAATATTAATTTTTAAAAAAATTACAATTAAAATAATTAAATAATTTCTCTTATGATTATTAATCACCCACCTACCAGTAGATATTATAGTAAATAAAATTATGGTAGTTAAAAATATATTCAAAAAGAGATAAAATAATTTTATATTTTATACACTGTATACAACAGAAAATATTTTATAATAAATGTTATAGTATATAGTAATAAACAAGGTTCGGATTTAATAGCACCAAAAAAACTTTAAAATATGCTCTATAGATATGCCCTAAAAACAACAAAAATAGCAAAAAAAAAAAGTAAGTCAAAATTTTATTAAATGTATTATATTATTTTATGAAATAATACATTAATAAAAAAAACTAAAATGACCATCTTCTGTTAATAATTTCAAAAAACTTATATGTGGTACGCCTTGTTGTATGTATACGTGTTTTACCTTGAATGATGACATCGTTTATACGTAACTGTTTCTTCGCTTTTAAGTGTTGAATAACGTTAAACTTTTTGACACTATTAACTTTACATTCACACAATTTACAAAATAGAATACTAGCGTCAATCGTTTGAACATCATTGCCACCAAACTCAGACACAAAATATCTAACTCTCAAATAATTCGATGTTTTAACTTTCGGTATTTTACGTTAAGTATCGAAACAGAAAAACAAATAATACACAATCGAATAATAAATGAATATGAAACGAAATCAAACAATACGGAGAACTGACACTGAAAGCATGAAATACATATGATAGACGACAATATATTATAGAATAATAATAAAATAAAAATAAATAAAACAGATAAGAGGGCATAAATGAATATTTGTTATCGCCAAATTACTTAAAAATAGATTCTAGTAACATGTTAAATAGTAAATACCATATTATTTATCAATTATCAATATGAAACGAAAATGTGGGAATTTTTGGATTCACCTTAATGAATATTATTTTTGATTCAATATAAACGAAATTTATGGAAAATACAAAATAAAGCATAAAATCATGTGTAATAGCAAAAAATATGACTAAAACTTCAAAAATAGCACTAAAAATCTAAAATACTTCAAATATATAAAAAATAACAGAATTAAATTTCCAATTTAGAGTCCCTGGTTAATAACACAAATGAATAGCTCACTTTGCTATCTTTATCTTTATCCTATAATAAGTATGTAGCAAATGCTATAAAATCCGAACCCTGGTAATAAACTTTATTTATAGAATACGTCATGGTAAATTATTGTTATTGACGATCTACAGCGTGGTCGTTTCGGGGGAAAAATTAAAAATCAGTACTAAAAATAAATAAAAAAATAAAAATCAATTATATTGTTAGATAACCTATATATATATATATATATATATAATATTTATATTTTAAAACATAGATAATGTTCTCATCGTCACTTAAAATAATAAATCGTCAAAATGAACACAATATTTGTCGTGGAGTAGCGGGGTGGGGAGCGGTGCGATAAAACCACTCTTCTCAATATAGGCTACTCTGTATTTACTAAAGGGTAGGCTTACGTTGAACTCTCAAGAGTTAAAACCTTAAATGGAGTACATCTTATCAATTTAGATCCAAGTCAAATCAAGGCACAAGAGAGCACTATTGTAGAGTACAACTGCCTGCGCACGTTATACCACCCCAATTTTGCCAAATTAAATATAAACAGAAAACGCGTAATAAAAAATCTGGATACTGAATGGGTAATTCACTCAAACATTTCAAAAATACAAGAAAATATAAATAATAACACAAAAAAGACAATTATAACCCGTAACTGTAGGAAAATACAATAGTTTAACAAAAACCACTTGGAAATAATTTTATTATTAATTAGTAGCTATTAATAATTTACAAACATAAAGTAATGATATCTCACCAAAAACATATATGTAAAATGAGAGCCAAGTTCAATACTATAATATATGCCTTGGTTGTTTACTTCAACGACAAAAGAAATGAGATCTAAATGGGTGCTAAGTTCAATGGTCAGTCCGACAATTTATTTATAATAACAAAAAATATTTTAAAACAATTTAAAATATAATTTCTTCTTATAACTTAGAATAATATATTGAAGCTTAAGGTCTGACTTAACTACGAATTATATTATAGCCTTCGCAAGTTCTAAAGCTGTCATATTTTATTTTTCCGAAAATTATCTTCACTCTTCCATAACTGTTTTAATAGATACTTAATAATAGTTCGTATATGAAAACTATCCAAGTCAGACCTTAAGCTTTAATATGTTATCCTAAGTTATAAGAAGAAATTATGTTTTAAATTATTATAAAATATTTTGTTATAAATAAATTTCAGGACTGACCATTGAACTTGGCACCCATTTAGATCTCACTTCTTTTGTCGTTAAAGTAAAATAATCAAGGCATATATTATAGTATTGAACTTGGCTCTCATTTTAAATATATGTTTTTGGTGGGTTTATTATTAAACTATATGTACATCATACCTTCAACAGTCAAATTCAACTTATAACTATACACATATTAAGTTATTTCTTGCTCACCGTTAAACAGCAGTTATCGAAGGTATTTAACTTGTATTTTATATCTCTACGATACCCTACTCAATCAAAACTCTTACCTAAGTTTACTCTTATCACACCATGGATTTAAATAAAGACACTCCAAATAAGAAATCAAAAAATACCAATACGATACCAAAGGAACCAACTATATCTGATATTTGGAATCTATTAATTACCTTGCAATCAACCGTCTCTTCACACAATGCTCAGTTTAAAAACAAGAATTAAACTCAAAAAACTATTCAATTTAATTTAATTTCTCTTTTTGAGAAGACATGTTTTTTTTAAAAAAAAAAAAAAAAACTAAATGATCAAACATTAATAAACCGAACAAGTGAACTCGAAAACTGATAGTACCGTACTGAAGTTTAAAATTATTATATAATATCAATGCACACGATTTATCATAATGTACAATTTATATTTTATCAAAATTAAATAAATTAGTGAACGCATATAATAAAGATCATTGGAATTAATTAATAATAGCAGCGATGGACATACAAAGCCCGAATAATCTACTAAAAAAAAGTACACGAAAAATATGTACATATTTAAAAAAATAACACACAGAGAAATAAATAAATAGTAAATTACATACAAATATGTAGCCTGAAATATTAATATATAAATATTCCCCGATATACATTTTGTTTATTTATTGTTATATTTATTATTTATTATTATCTAAAGTGTATTAATATAAGATATTATTTTAAAAATCAGTTTTTACATTTCAAATATTATTAAAATTATATTTTTGTATTTCATCCAGTGTTTATAATTCCTCCAAAACTGAATGAATGTAAATGTTATTTTGAATATTTAATATTTTTAAGTCTATATTGATAGCAAAATGTATGTTATGGTTATTTTTTAAAATATGTTTATCAAAACTTGAATTAGAGACAGTTTTCTAGATTTTATTTCAGAAATGTTTTATTTCTACCTTATTTTGATTTTTTGATTTTTCTTACCAAAATATAATTTATTACAATTAGATTTAAGTTTATTTATACCAGTATTTTCAAAAGAAGAAGAGTTTTTAGTGAAGTTTTTAGTTGTATTTTTTATATATTTGATCAAACTATTACTAGTTTTAAAAAACGATTTTTACATAATTTGACGAATTTTGTCAAATTGTCATTTGTTCTTTAATATGTTTATGGATTTCTTTTAATAATATTTAAATTGATATTATTTCTATGGTCTATAATATAGACAATTCTGAAATCCTTTTTATAATTAGATTTATTTAATAGAATACGTTCAAGCCTATAATTATTAAAGAATTAAATACAATTAAAAAAACAAATGTCATGGTTAATGTATATGATAACCAAACATGTATATTAGTAGAACACACTATAAAAATGTACTCAATGTCACAAATTTATAGATCCCAATGGTTTAGTTATAACGGCAAACATGACATGAAATTACTGACAGCGAAAAATTCTATTCTCCTATTATTATTGATTCCAGGGCACTTAATGTATGTAAACTACTATAATTACCGTATGTAATACGTACATTTTTATTAAAATTGAAACAAATGTTCTTACTTCAAACCACACAAAAGTTTACTTAGAAGTTGTCAGACTTATAGTATTAAGTCTAATATAACAATAATAATAATAATAATAATCTAATATAATAATAGTATGCTTAATCTTAAACTTGGGAAATATTTTATTTTAAATTAAAGTAGTGCAAATATAATGCGAATTTATGATTGCATAATATAGGTTAACTGTGTGTACTTAAATGTACATTTTTGAGTAAACAAAGTGAAAATGTATAAAATGCATTATGCTTATTTAGTTTATTATTGTTTACCACATTATTCATGATATGTATTAATAGAATTCGTCTTGAATATACGTTCCCTTAATATCTTACATCCGTGATATCTCATCAAGTAATTATTTATATTGTTAAAAGTTCATAAAACAAATAACATTTTACAAATAATATTTTATTTTTATCTTTATTAATGGTTCAAACCTTCGCATTTTTGTCATGAAGAGCTTATCTAACCTTCTACGTTTCATTCTAAATACGTTGATTTTATTCATTGTTTAATCGTGATTTAAATTAGAGGTCTCGTTTTTGTGCATGCATTTTTTTTTTTAAATTTTCACAATATGTATATATATATATTAAAAAATATTTTATTTGACATGTTATTTTATTGAGATATACGTATTAGTTTAATGTTGATTTGCACGGGGACAGGACATTTAAACTGAAAGGTACTAAATTATTTAAGGGTACTATCAGTCTTATAAAAGACAATTTACTGTAACTTTATTTATGTAATTATAACTCAGCTATTATTTTGGATTTGATATTAATTACAAATATTGTGTAATAGTGTACTAAAATGGGGAAAATTTATTATGAGCAAATTTTTAATGAATAGTTGGAGTCACTTATTTTTAGTTTTATACTTTAGGGAAGAAGGATGGCAAAATATTATTGATCTTGGGTGGAGAAATCGCTAACCGGCTTAATGTTAAAAAACATTCCGCAACATTTATACTGTAGTCTCTCTCCGCTGCCATTTTTCTCGTTGCTCTACACTGAACTCCACCGGACCAACTGGAAGTGAAGTCCACACACGTGATAATTATCTACTTACAGAAGGGAATACAAGTGAAAATAAAATTGTCAAAGACTTCGGTCGTTTCAATGGGAAATTTGAAGAAAAAATTGTATTTTTGGTTTTTTTTTTTAGTTATTCAAATATATTATTAGTTTTTAATCTTAGAATACATACATTTATATTACAAAATGTTGTACATTAATGTAATGTTTTTTTATAATATTATATAATATTTGTAATATTGATTTATAGAGTTGGTTATTCCAAAAAAACCTTATTAACCTTCACCTTCTATTTTTATTTACCTATCTATATCTATTTTTTTATGGAGTTAAACCATTTTTTATCTTTTTAATAAAAAAATATGTGTCTGTTTCCTAAAATTTGAAATGTACCTAACAAAAATATTCTTTGATCTGATTATTTCCTATTCTGAATATTTGATTTAATGAATTATTTCTAAGAGTTAGGTTAAGAGTTAGATAGGTAGGTTAGATACTGTTTTCAAATTGAATACAATATTTCTATTAATAGCAAAACAAATGAAAGAACAATATGATTTTATATAAATTAGTGTTTAAAAATATTGCAAGGGTTAACAATTTATATTATACTTTTTTTTTTTAGGATCTAACGAAACCGTCGGATGATAATTAATATATTCAAACAATGACAAATTAACTCTTTCATCCATTCTTGTTGTAGAACCACAGTATCCGAAGATATTTGAGACTTGACGCAAATTATGTACATAACTATGTATGATATAGGTCTTTAAATATGGAAACGCAAGTCTAATATTTAAATGTCGGTCGATACCACGCATAGCATAACTGATAACCATGTGAATATTAAAGACTACAATATATGCTAAATAAACTCATTTATGTGAACTACAGTAAATACAACTATTAGGGATATATATATATATGTTATTCACTAAAGCATGGTTTTAAATTGTACGACAAATTTTTACCTAACGGATACGCCTGGCATTTATACATGATACACAAGATATATAATAATATTCATGGTACTCAAGTCTTGGTTGGCAAGCAAACGTTATCGATTATTGACGAATAAAATCGGATTGGGTTCCAACTAGTGATGGGCAGAAACGACTATTTGATACTACCGACTATTATTCGGTTTTCATTACGTACTACCGACTATTATTCGACTAATAATTTGCACGACCAGCTATATACAAATCATAGAAATTAGTCGACTATTTTTTTCCAACCAACTATTATGAATAAATAAAATTATTCGACTACTTTTTTTCAACCAACTAATATGAATAAATGAAATTAGTCGACTAAAATAACTGATAACTCGGTAATTCTAAGAAATTTAAATTGTAGTCGTAATTCTATTTAAAGGTAAGGTTTTGTTTCCGCAGTTGACTGCAGCAGTCATACATAGTCAAAACAAAAATAACGATAATGACACGCACGGCGCACGTCGCACACACTACAAAGCTAGCCGCTAGGTTTTTGTAAATGGGTAATTCTAAGATATTGTAAGGTCTATTTTTCTGCATTGATTTTATTTAGATAAATATTTAATACCCAAAATCCAAAATACCTTAGTAGTTAGTTATCATTCGACAGTTATACACGGCATACGCCACACGGTATAGACTATAAGCTATTGAGTTTAAACTGTTATAAATAAACTCGTATAAAATGTTGAGTAAAAAAAATTCATCAAACGTGTGGTGCTATTTCACTAAAAATATAAATAAACCTGACGAAGCTAAATGTAATTTATATCATACTGTGTACAAACATGGTCACGGTACATCAAATCTGCACGAACATTTGCGCCGTAATCATCAGTCAAAACTTGACGCAGATAAGTCTAAATTTGAATTGGACAAAGATTTAGATTTGCGATTTCAACAAGGTAAGTGATAGTATATACTTTTTTAATTGATATTTTAATTCAATTTCAATTTTATATTTTATTTAAGAGAGACATCAACATTAACATCCAAACGTAGTTTTAGGGAAGCAAGTGAAACAACTATAATGACAAACAATTCAATTAATGAAGTTCAAGTACCTGTATTAAAAAAACAAACAAAGCAATTACTTCTTTCAAAAAGGTAATTTTATTTGATTTATTTACATATTTTAGTACAAAAAAAAGATTTTAAAATACATTTGTGTATAAATATTTATCTAACAGATTTGTATGTATTTTTTAACCTTTTTCGTGACATTTATATCTCAGTAATTTGATGAAATAAATTTAATAAAACATAAATACATCGTACGTTTTGCGTTGTCGGCTGTCGCCCCATAATTTCATTGTGATGTCATATAACACAGATTTTTTGATCAAATATTCAATGTTTTGTAGTTATATTGAACTCAGTTTTTTATAAAAAATTCACAAATATCAGTCAAAGATTCTTTATATCTTGCCCATTTTAATTATATATTATTTTTATAGATTTGGTATTTCATCAGAAAAACAAAAGACAGACTTTGTGAGATCGATTGTTGAAATGATAACTGATGATTTGCAACCACTATCGTTTGTTGAAAATAGTGGATTTCAAAACGTAATTCGATTGCTTGATTCAAGGTACTTAGATCTTTTACCAAGTCGCCGAACACTAACAAAAAGCATCTTACCTGACCTATACCCTACTACCAAAAATAAACTACAAGATATTTTGAACAAATCAAGCTATATTTCCATTACTTCGGATATCTGGACATCATTAAATACAGATTCGTTTATGACTATTACTTTCCACACGTTTGATAGTGCTTTCATTCTTAAAACATTTGTATTATGCACTTTAAAATTAGAAAATAGTCATACAGGAGAATATCTTATTCAAACGTTGGAAAATATATTTAATGAATGGGGAATTAGACACAAAATCGTAGCAATTGTAACAGATTCAGGGGCTAATATTAAATCTGCCGTAAACAAATTACGAATACCACACATACCTTGTACAGCGCACATATTAAATTTAATTGTTACCCAAGCTTTAGTATTTAGAAGTCCATATGATGACAATGATGTTTTAGAACAGTAATTCCCAACCTTTTTACCACCACGGACCACTTCGACAATATTTTATAGGCCGCGGACCACCTCAATTTTACGTAAACTAGGAAGATCTTTTTTTTTTTTGCTCATCAACAAGAATTTATAATTTCTTTATAAGAGGCTTTTAATAATACTTATAATTGATTTTTTTTTATTAAAGTTAAAAATAATTAAAAATTTAATACAAACTAATATTCTAAAAAAATTTACATTACATTATTATAGTTATTTAAGGTAAATTACAAAAATTATGAAAACAATTTAATGCGATTTTTGTGCTTGCATTTCGTTCACTAACAAAGATATTCTTGGGTTGATACTGCTCAAAGCTACACGCAAGTCTTTAGTGGGGTCCAACAAATTTCTCTGTTTATTTTTAATGTAGAGTAGTCCAGAAAATCCTTGTTCGCACAAATAAGTTGTCGAAAACATGACTAAATATCTTAATGCAATTTCTCGAAGTTTAGGGTACGTAATCGCTTTTTTACACCAAAACTCTTCGATATTCATGCCAGATTCAAATGTATCCTTACAGTTTCGATCGTTTTGTAACTCTATCAAATCTTCCTGGTTATTATCAGGTACCCCATTGATTTTAATGATAAAAGGGTTTCGAATCATACTTCGTATACCATTTGTTTCCAAATCATTATATTCTGGAAAATAACGATTAAACTCATTTTTAAGTTTTTTCAAATGTTGTAAAACGTTTTGCTGTACCTCATTTACGAGGTCAGCATATTTTTCGTTATCAACCAAGCTTTTCAGTGTTTGAAACGCTGAATAATTATTCATTTCAACTTTACTTATCCACAAATCAATTTTACACATAAACGCTCGAAGTTTATCTTCAAATATGGATATATTTGCAGAGCCTTCCAGTTTATTATTTCCAGAACCTTCTAATTGCAAATTAAGCTTGTTTAAATGTTCGAAGATATCGACAAGATAAGCCAGGTATATTTTAAACTTATGATCATAAATAAATTTCAATAAATTATCATTTTTTTTCTCAGTTAAAAACATTGCCACCTCCTCCTTTAGTGAAAATAAACGTGCCAACATGTTACCTTTCGAAAGCCATCGGACTTCGGTATGAAAAAGTAAAGTTTCATATTCAGAGTCCAAGTCCGAGCATATTTTTTTAAAAATGCGAGTATTCAGTGCACTAGTTTTGATGATGTTTACCAACTTTATGGCCTGTTTCAAAGTATATTGGAGTTCTTCAGGTAATGTTTTTGATGCTAATGCTTGTCGATGAATAATACAATGTGTTGTCAATACTTTACGGTTTTTTTTCTTTCACCAACGTTGCTAGGCCTGAGCGTGATCCCAACATAGCTGGAGCACCATCCGTACAAAAACCTGCTAACTTTTCCCACATAATGTCGTGCTTTTCAAAATAATCATTTATTATCTTCAGTATATCACTTCCTTTTGATGTAGTACTCAATTCTTATAACAATAAAAGCTCTTCTTTTATTAAATTGTTGTTGTCCAAAAATCGAACAAAAACCAGTAACTGACAACATTGTGAAACATCAGTACTTTCATCACACTACAATGCGTAAAAAGGCGAATTTTTTATTTTTACTAGTAATTGTTCTTCGATATCGAAAGACATTTTATCAATACGATCTTTCACAGTATTATTCGATAATGGAATTTCTTGAATTTTCTTTTTAGCTTCTGCACCTAAAATTTCTTCTACGGCAGTTAGTAAACAAGGCTTTAATAAATTTTCACCAATTGTGTGTGATTTCTTTGATTTTGCGATTAATTGTAAAATTTTAAATGACGCAGATAGAACTTTTTCGTTTGCCTCAAATCTTGAACCACTTGTTCCTAGTTTCATTTTTTTTAAATTTTCTGATTTACCAATGAAAAATTCTGGTGGTTGATCACTAAATTTAGGATGGACACTTTTTAAATGCCGTTCTAACTTGGCGGGTTTCAACGCATCATAACTGAGAACGGTGGCACATATTACACTGTGGTCGAATTTCACGATTAGTTTCGATTGCGATAAATCCAAATTTTATGTATCCATCGTCATACTTTCTTTTCGGAGCTATATTTCGACAATCTAACACACGAAAAATTAAAAAGAACACAAACGTCGACTACGGAATACGAGTACGGAGACACTAACAACAAAAACCAACAATATTATATTCAACTTTGAACATAATCTGTTAAATTGTGCCGATATAATCTAATCTTAATGTAAAAATGTAAAACAAAAATTAAATTATCGGTTGAAATAATAACATGGGTTTCACTACGTAATATAAATTTATAAATAAATTTATTTATAAAAATATTTTTACATTTTGTAAGTATGGCTCGCGGACCACCTCACAATGTCTCGCGGACCACCAGTGGTCCGCGGACCATAGGTTGGGAACCTATGTTTTAGAATCTAATGAATGTCAAAATCTAAATGATTTATTAAAGAAGTGTCGTTCCATTGTGACATATTTTAAAAAAAGAGAAGTTGCAAATAGGAAATTAGCCGAAAAATTAACACAGTTAGGAGCTTTAAAATTAAAACTTAAGCAAGACGTGTCAACAAGATAGAACAGTAGCCTCTTGATGTTGGAAAGACTAGTCGAATTAAAAGAACCATTGACCTATGCTATGCTTTCCTTAAAGGATGGACCTGTAATGTTAAATTCGCAAGAATGGGAAGTAATAGGAGATGTTATCCCCATATTAAAACCATTTGAAGTAATGACTACTGAGTTATCAGGAGAGAACTATCCGACATTGGCAATAGTTATTCCATTAGTAAGAGGTAAGTAAGAAATTCAAAAAAATTAAATTAATTAATAAATAATTAAACAAATATTTTTAGGTTTACACATTTCTCTAGTATCAAAACAAATGAGAACATACTTAGGTCAGCTAATCAAGAAAAAATTGCTGGAAAATTTAAACAGTCGTTTTAAACTCATTGAAGAGCAAAATCCTAAACCTGAGTTTTCAAGAGCGACTCTACTTGACCCTCGTTTTAAAAAGTTGGCATTTCAGCACACAATTAATGCTGAAAACGTAGAAAAGAGTATTACAGATGAGCTATCTTTACTTATCAGTGAAAATTTGAATGGTAAGGAACTAAGGAATTAATAATATTAATACATTTTTTTTTACATTAAAAATTTTGATTAATTATAAAAATGTATATTTTTTAACATTACAGAAGAAAATTCTAATATTTCTGAAACTCCTGAAATTCAAACCATCTCTAATAATGAAGCCGTATATTTATGAAGTTTCTTGGATGATTCAAAGCCAATCGATTTTTGGATCAAACACAAAATACTGTTGGGCGAATTATTCAACTTAGCATTGAAGTATTTAGTGATCCCTGCTACCTCAGTACCTACAGAGAGAATTTTTTCAAAAGCAGGTGAAATCATGTCAGCAAAAAAAAAATAGAACACATCCAAAAAATTTAGATATGTTCATATTTTTAAACAAAAATTTAAAACAGTTGTAAATTTGTATTTATTTTTCCTAATAATGTTTATGTTTTTTGTTATATTATTATTATTTTTGTTATATTGTTGAATTAAAGTAATTCATGCTAAAGTTTGCAATCAGTCCAATAAAAATCAGTTGAATAATAAAAAAAAGTCAAATTGAATAATGATAATTAGTCGAATAATAATTAGTCGAATAATAAAAATAAGTCGAATAATAATTAGTCGAATAATAATAACTTGTCAAATAATAAAAATTAGTCGAAAAATAATAACTAGTCGAATAATAAAAATGTTCGAGTAACTACATTAGTCATTTGATACTACCCACTAAGTCGGTAGTTATTAGTCACTTTTGCCCATCACTAGTTCCAACTTTATGGTTTAATATATACTTTAATATAATTTTAACTATTGGCGGTATATGAGTGAGTTCTATGGCAACAGATAAACGTTAACCATCCACAGTTGAATCGAATGCTGCGCTTAAATATTGAATCAACTTTAATATTCATTATTCACACAAGGTGTTTTTTTTTTTTTTTTTTGAGGATCCTCACCTTTTTTTAAGCTTATCTCTTTCTGACACTGTGAGATACCGTTAATCCCCATATTGTTTTCTTAGTATAAAACGGATATCATATTGTTGGTGCTGCATAATATCGCTCAACTCAAATTTTAATTTAATTATACACTTATTATTATTTTAGGTCCATATTACGGTCATCACGACATACGCACACATTGAAAAATATTAATGCTTTATTATTATACTAACAAAATACGTGTACGAGACCGTAAACGTAGATACCAATGAAATATAGAAAGATATATTATTTTTTTTTCACCTAAGAAAGCAAAACAATATGAAGTTCATCAAATTATATGCAAATGAAAGATTACAACCGACAATCGTTTATATTTTTACAAAGAGGAAATTTGATAAAATTAATGAATACAATTTCAGTAAAAATAAGTTTTTTTTTTTAAAAAAAATTCGACGAATTGACATAGGTTTAAAGGTTTTTTTTATAACGTTTCTTAGTTATTTACTTCTATTCGAAAAATATTAAATAAGAATATTCTTTTATCATTTCTTTGTACTCATTTTATTTTAAACAATTAAATAAGCATATTATACTTTTTACTTTAGATGGTGCACCGCGTTCACAATTCAGGAGTTTTGTTGGTTTTTATTTTATAATTTTTATGGTGACTCAGCATATGCACATCAATATATTGATGTGTACTTTGTAATTTAATAATAACAATATATTTATTAGAGACTTTATATAAGTTATTATAAGTGAATTAGATGAACAACAAAATAAATAATGAACAGCAAAGGGCAATTGTAGACCAAAAACTGATTTACATTAACTACATTATATTTATTTGTGATCGAGTAGGTGCGTCTATGTTGGTGAAGTAGCTAAGATAATAATATACAATATTCTTTATACATTTCTATATATGTATTTTTTTAATAATTTTTAACTTCATTAAAACAAAATAAATCAATAAATTAAAATTTTTATTTTAATTCATATATTTTTTTAAGGATATTTTAATGCGTATTTTGTATATGTTACTTAAAATGTACCTATTTTCATCATCAAAAATAAATTGTTTTAAAGTATAAAATACAAATTATATTATAATTTATATTATATCTTGATTTGTATATTTTATAGTTATATCCAATAAAACTTACCACTTTTTGCACGATGATACATATATCTTCCATCTTTGATAACTTTTTTTTAAAACTATTGTGTGAGCGAGCTCCCGAACAAGTCTATTTGCTCGAGGTAACCAAGCTCCGATAAAAAAGAGTGGACTGTATATGTACACCTTTCTTATGTATATGTATATTTAATATAAAATATAATCAAGTAAAGGTTATAAACCGAGACGACGCGAGGGGGTGGGCAATAGGGGCAGTTGCCCAGGGCCCCGCGCCTTAAATTATAATTAAGGCCCCGCGGTTCTGATTTAACTGAACTTAAAATATTTTATTAACATAAATTATAAGACCCAACATTAATTTTGCCCAGGGCCTCACAAACTCTAGCACCGTCACTGGTTATAATACATTAATAAACGAAACATGTAATAAGAATAAAATAAAATAGAATAATAAATTAATAATTATATCATATAAATATAATAATAATTATTATATCAATAAATGAATAATAAACAAATATTACTGCGTACTGCGCCACTGCAACAGCCGACGATAGATATTATGTGGCGACCACAAACGTAACATAAATAACACGGTATCGCGAATTATACACGGGGCAACAATCAACCAACGACGACACACCGACCGGTCGCGGCGGCCCGTATTAAAATATATATCGGGTAAGGTGGCGCGAATAGTTCAGTGAAGTGAAGGGGTTTATCGTGTCTAGAAAATTCGACCGTTAGAGGACGCCACACCACCAAAAAACATGTACAAAAATGTGTTTACGTGTTTCAATATTACGGCTTATTGAGTAGTTTTAGAGAAAAAAAACCCAATACAAAAGTTGTAGAGAATAATATTTTGGAGATAATGACATAACCTTTTTTTTGAATTATCCCTAGGAAAAAAGTTACAAGCATTTGAAAAAGTAAAAAATTGGTTTTTTGGTCATAGCTTGTTAAATACTGAATGTATAAAAAACGGATATGTCATTATCTTCAAAATTTTGTTCTCTACAACTTTTGTATTAGGGTTTTTTCTCCAAAATCACTCAGTGAGCCAAGTTTTTGAATGTGAAACTTCATTGAACTTGCATAATGTTAGATTTGTCCACTCAGTAAACTGAACATGAGTCGAAAAAAATTGTCCGGTAGTTATTATATATATTTTGTGTTAAAATTGATTCATTTCTTAAATTGTTTAGTGATTTATGTTCCATAATCGTCATAAAATTGTTAATATTTCGCGACTTAATTTTTAGTAGTAAAGTGACTAAATGACTTTTTACTTCAACGATAGATAAATTGGCTGTTTCGACACTTTTAATTGTATTAAAAAATAGATCACATTGAGTTTGAAGAAATATTTGATAAATTTGATTTTGCCTACTGCACTATTTTTGCTTGGGCCGGCCCTGTTTAAAATATACAGGTTAGCTATCGCTAATCCGTCACTCGGTCGATTTAATATAGTGATCGAATCAGTACTGTGACAACATAACAGTGTGAATCGTAAATATTATTCACTGAATAATATACGTATTTATTGAATATATTAGAATTTATATATATATATTATAAATTATTCTGTAAAATTTAATGTAATAAAACCGATTAATAAGTACAACAAACGCAATAGAAGAATATAAAAATAAAAAAATTTCAAGAATAACGTTTTTAAGAAAAGTACCTATGCAACAATTATTTAAAATATTAAATAATAAATAATTAATAGAATTATGAAAAATATTTGAATATATATATATAGGTATAAATACAAATTTAATTATAAAATTAAATTAAAGTTCAAAAATATGAATCCGAAAATTAAGTCAAACAATTTTTTGGGGATCAATAAGAATCGCCTCTCCGTGGTGGTCCCTGGGTAACTTTAAAGGGTTCTTAAAATATAATTTAGACAGTTATGTAGAAATAGATTTGGTGAGGATGAAAATCGAATATTTCCGTTTTGGTGGAAACGACTGACGCCCACGACGAAGACCAAAAATAACTTTTTTTTCGAATAATTGAATTCGATACTTAGAAATCGATTAGGTTAGTAATAATATAGCAACCACATTATTATTTTACAAATGCCTAATTATATACAATATACATTTAATCCGTAGACCGTAATTGATATTTAATAAAAACAGATAAAAATTATAATTTTAATTTTATTTACTTATTTTCTATTATATGAAAATATTCATATTTTTTAAAAACGGGACAATATAGCGTCCCGGATGCATATGTCGGAATAACGGGACAGACTTTTGAAATACGGTACTTCCCTATATAATACGGGACGTCTGGCCACGCTATACTACAATATAACTTACAACTTCAACTGCCATATAATTAATTTTTATCATTAACTACTATCGTTCTTACTACAGCTTTTTTTTTGTTCTTCAAAAGCTTATACTCTTTTTTTTTTGCCTTTATTTTTCTTTTATACATGTGTCACACGAAGATTCTTTGTTTATGAAAGATACTTTAGAATTTCACTTTATACAGTCATACATATTATTATAATTTTCGTTAGTTTTTTCTTTAAGTTTTTAATTAGCCTCTTCTTTTTACTATCTACTTTATCACTTACTTCAGTAATAATTAACTTGTTTAAATTTTTTCTGCTGTAATCGATTGTAAGATATCATTAGGTAATTTTTTTTTACCTTTAATTAATATATGAATACGCACTCAATAAATTATCTGTAAATATTTCATTCTCGTTTTTCTTAACCTTGTTAAATTTGTAGGCTAATGAATACAGATAATGAAGCATTTACTTAAAATAAAATAAAAGGTATAAAAATAAATATAAACGAATTCGACTGTTTTAACGATAACGCAGAAGTATAGAAATATTAAATATTATCATCATAAATCGAATGGTTGTTTTTTTATTTCAATTATCTATATTTCTAAAACTACTTACCGTGGTAGTATAAAATTTCTAATTTATTTTGAGTCTTGAAAAGTGCAGGAATAAATTATGTATAAGGGAAAGTTTGACGCGGATCTAAGCATTTGCCCTTAATAATTTGAAATAAAATGCTACAATAAATAGAGCCATTCAAAAACTATGAACTTACTCACACTAGATGTAGCTCACATTGTTCGATTATGGGTGTACAATATAACTAGAGCTCGGAAGTTAAAGTTGACCTTAAAAACATTAAAAAATGACCTAAAAAAAGATACAAATCTGACATAAAAATGACAAAAAATGTCCTAAAAAAATGACC